TGAAGACTAGTCGTCTTGTCAGCTGGTGTTTTGGCTCCACGTGTAGTTTGTCGCATGAACCTGACGACCACCATCACAGTGAGCTCTGTGACAGTCAAGCACGGAGGTGGAAGCATGATGATTTGTTGGGAAGATGTCATGCATTGGGCGGCTGTGGCTCAGGTGGGTTGTCCTCTCATCGTAAGGTTGGCGGTTCAATCGTCCCGCCCCTCCACAGTCGAAGGCAAGATACAGTCCCAGTGGCAGGCAGCACCTTACATGGAAGCTCTGGAGCCACTGGTGTGTGAATGGGTGAATGAGAAACACATTGTAAAGCACTTTGAGTACCCCTAAGATAGAAAAGCACTATATAAATGCAGACCATTTACCATTTATAGATGGCACCATGAAGGTCTGTTTGTAGCAGGGGGACACTAGGACCCAGGCACAGCCTGTCTAATCAAGGTGAGTGCATCTCACCTGTTCACAGAAGCATGCAGCACAGGTGTGTCAGCTTCATTCCTGTGATCACTCCTCTGTACAGGCTTCCTCCAGTCACAAAAGTCAAGGATTAGTCCAGGAACAAGGCACATTGCTGGTTTTACGTCTTGTTGTTTGCTGATGTGGCCAAAGTTAAACTTACAAAAAAAAATAAAAGAACACTTCATTGTGCTGCCAACAACGCCAAATGTGCCATCTGATTGTTCCTTTATTCTAAACACAGGTGAAGCTTGATCACAAAGCCAACAGTCAGTGTGGGTCAAAACCACTCGTTTATTAAAATCAGGGTCACTGACATTAGTTCTAAAAAATAAAGGGGGGGAGGGTAAAAGTTCAAGCTGCATGACAGACAAAAAAAAAAAAAAAAATTAAAATAAAAGAAAAAAAGAAAAAGTGTAAAAGTTCAAGCTGCATGACAGTTGGTGACTAAACAAAATTAAAACAATTTTTCAGAAAACGTTCAAACTGCCACACGTGCCGAGGCAAACCTGGAGCGACATCACTGCAGAGCATTTGGCCTTGTTGCTGGCACTATTTCTGCACTTATGACTCAACGAAGCATGTGCGTAGGAATGAGGCTGGCAAACCTGTGCTGCTTGCTCTTCTACACAGGTGAGGCGCTCCTGGTGACAAGAATTACCCGTTCATGGAAACACAAAAAAAAAACAGAAATGCAATAACGAGCTGAAGGTGAAGGAGACGGAAAATTATGAGCCTGCAGTTTTCCTGGAGTGATAAACATGTGGGAAGGTTCACATCATGCTACACCGTTTGCAAATAAGAGACAGAAATGCATGATGGGGAGAGTCTGCAGCATTGTGTGTGCAGCAAATAAATCAAGTTTATTGTTGGTTTGTTGCTGTCCACACACAGTAGTACAGGCAAGATGAGATGTTCAACCAGCAATGGAATTTTATGGAATAATACACTAAACGTAAATAAATATCTTCAACTAATATATTAAATATAAAATGGAACATTGTGTACATTTGGCCAAGTTGTCGCTCTTACGGGTCACATTCATGTCAGTACAGAACGTATTTTATATTGATGGTATCTATAAATGTCGTCTCGCTGACACCTTTCACTCGTGCAGCAACATATCATCACACTCTCAGCTCCGTGCTTCACTGTCAGGACAAGACACACCATCTCCATCAAACTAATTTATCTTGGTCTCATCTGCATAAATAAATAAGCACATCCTAATATTTATCAGCACGCATTTTATCAAGGTTTATTCTGGAAAACTAAATCTGTGCCAAAGAGCAGGTAAGGAGTTTTATTTATTCATTGATAGGAGCTGATGTGATGCTTGTAGTGAGTTGTGACATCATTTTTTGTTTCTCTTGATGAAGCAGCTGCCTGTTTGTTTTTTGTTGTTGTTGTTTTTCTTTTTCAGAGCTCGATAGTGAAAGTCGTGCACTGTCCCCGACGCCCACTGTGACTCTGATTAGTGGTACTGAGGCTCCTTCTGTACCTCCTAATCACTGCTGCACCTGTGTTTTGACTGATTTTTAAGTTGGGGTGATGCTCTTCATGAATACTTTTTAATCTTTGCAAACTCTCAAACTCTGTTTTTTTGTTTTCAGTTCCTCTGCCAACATTTTCCATGTGGAGCCATGATGCAGACATGACACATAACCGTGTTCATGCCGTTTGGCTAATTGGAAATCACAGGTGTACTCAGTTTTGTTGACACTGATCACAGGCTTGTGTCGTACTGAGTCTCTATTTTGGGGCCTGATCTTGCAATACAGTCTTTCAACGTATTTGATTGTTGATAGGAAACACGTTACTTGTCACCTTATAAATGCTGCAGTGATGAGAGGTGGTAGAAGTTTATAATCATGTCGTTTTTCTTTTGTCATCTGTGATATTTTCCTGCAGCATTAAACATTCTGTATTTTTGATATGTATCAGATTGTTGTATTTATTCTGCTTCCCTGCTTGTTGTATTAATGTGATTCTGAGTTAACTCACATAGTTAACCATCTTTAGAGGTTTATGACAAAGGAGCACTCCAGTGTTTTACTCTGTATAGCGCTGATAAAGTTTCAGGACTCACAAGAGACATATAAAAAGGGGGATTTTTACTTTTTACTGCTCAGCTACAGAATAAAGTAGGTTAGACCCCGACTGTGAACATTACAGAGTGAAATTCGACTCATCCATATAGTTTTTTTTTCTTTTTCTTTTTCTTTTTTCAGTATCAGTAAAGCTCAGGCTTTAAAACAAACACTCTCAAATACTCTTTGTATCCTCAAAGCCAGACTGCACATCTGGAGGATATGAGTTCAGAGTCTCCACCCTTTCGGGAGACAAAATCGCTCGTTCATGATCACAAACAAAATCACGAGTCCAGAAACTGAAATCACGGTCGTGTCGCTGTCACTCAGCTTCCTCTTTCTGTCCCAGCTTGTACTGAACGTCTCCTGGAGTGCATATTTTTAGGGTCAAGGGAGGATGGAGGTGAAGGGCGTACGTTTTCAGCCTTTCATTACACGTGTGAGCAAACATTCATTCCTCCACCAAACTAACTGGTTTAGCAGGTGGCCGCACAATGAGGCCTGTTTGCTCTAATCAGTTTTCTGTATGTAATAAACTCCTCGCTGCTTCTTGTTTCAGAGCAGACAGAGTGCTGCACACATAAGCAGTCTCCTGCTGATTAGATTTCTGCTCTTAATCACTTAATCTCATTTGTCCCATAGTTGTTGGCTCCTTTCCCTCCGTTTCTATTTGTGCGTTTAATGATCAGCCATCAGATTAGCGTTCATCAACAGAATGGTTTCATTATTTCCACGCTGATGACTTAGTTATGTGATAAGTTGTAGGTCAAATCTTATTAATCTCTCTCTCTCTAGTCTCCCATACACACTGTCAAGTTACCAGCTTTTAGCAAGAGCAATACCGGACGTTAGTGGTTCTTTCAGAATAAAACATTTTTTTATAAAAGACAAATAATGACATTTCTGATTTTAATTAACTCAAATAATATTTTCACTGAAAATTTGAGGTACTCAGTATTTATTCTTTGCTATAAAGGTAAATATTTTTCTCAACTATTCATTAATAAAGCTCTGGTGAGTTACTTAAAACACATGAATTCACAAAGGTTGTCCAAACAGATCTCTTAAACAGCATTTTTATTGGATCAGTTGCTTATTCATCCATTCTGTAAATCTACTAGTTGATTAGATAATTAATTGAAAAGCTGAAGTTAGCAACTATTTGGCATTTTTTAAACTAACAAAAAAAACCTACAGACCCACAGCATTGACTCTCTGAAGCATAACAGTTACAACCAATGACTTTTTCCCCTTTTTTTTTCTTTTACGGGTGATTGTTTGATCTTTAAATGTTCAAAAATTATGCCTGATCTAATTTCCCAACAGTCCACAACCCAACTATCCAGAATTAAGTCATTACAAAACAGAAAAAAGAAACAAATGTACATTTTAGGGCCTAAAACCAGCAAATATTTTGCCTTTTTTGACAAAATAGTTGCACAATCATGCATCATATAAATCAGCTAAGTTATGAGGTGATGAATTGTTTTGGTTTTAGTTTGGAAACTTGTCCCGAAAAAGCTCAAAATTCTGACATCTGATAACCTGAAATGAGCCGTTCTCTGGTATTTTTGCATGATAATTCACTTCAGCCAGATACAGTAACAACAACCATGGATTTTTTTTTCTTTTATGCCTGATTGCTTGATATCCAAATGTTCAAAAATGTGCCTGTTTTATTTGACCAACATCTACAAACCCAAATATTTTCACTTAAAATGTTGCAAAACATTGAAAAAAGCAAATGTGTGCATTTTAGAAGCAAGAACAGTCCATCCATTCATTCATCCATCCATCCATCCATCCATCCATCCATCCATCCATCCATCCTTCCATTCATTCATTCATCCATCCATTCATTCATCCATCCATCCATCCATTCATTCATTCATTCATTCATTCATTCATTCTGTATATGAGCTAACTGTGATTGAATGTTCCCAAAAGTGTCCCAAAAAGCCAAGAAATTTTCACTTATAATGACTGAAAAAACACAAAAAGCTCCAAATTCTCCCATTTGAGAATCTGAAACGAGCGGCTACCTGTCATCGTTGTGTGATATTTCACTTCAGCCATAAACCATTTAACCATTAGTCAAAAGCAGCATTACAGTCATTCAGTCTTGTTCTAGTAAAACATCATCATAGTAAAGCCGCATAACTGATGGAGTTAAAAACCTCCTGTGTGCAGCTTTGGTTTGATTTTTTTTAAACTGTTTAGAAATTGTGCTTGTTTTAATGAAGCATTAGTCCAAAACAGTTAAAAATAAATCTCCTGTGTGCGGGTTTGGCTCTTACAAAAGCAAATGTGTGGACACTCAAAGGTGCCCAACTAAAGGCTGCTGTCCTGCTTCTTCCTGCTGCTTTATTGTGAAATCCCACAGTGGGGGTGTAGCTCGTGTCTTGACGGATCAGATCGACTGGAGCTGAGGCTGTTATTCAGCGGCTGGCTGCTGCTCTCTCACTGCCTCCCTGAAAGCTGAAGGCATTTGAAACTTTCCACCTCACATTTGTGCATCAACCTACAGACGCGACACGGAGCCTGTTTTCTTTTTTTTATTTTTTTATTATTATTTTTTTTAAACTACCAGCTTTACATCAAACTTGCCATGAGCATCGCACGGCTGGAGACCTAAACCGGCGGCTCTGGAAGAGGTGAAGATGCCTCATGGATCGCTCCATCACCGCCAGTGCGCCAGTTCAGGGCATCCCAAACGCCGAATAACAAAGAAATGCCGAGGTTTAGCGCCAGATGGATGGTTGCGGTGGTGCTGATTGCGGTGGTCGGCGGCGCTTTCTTCTTCTGCGAGTATCTCATCTACTTCCCCACCATCCTCAAGTGCGCCTGGCCGAAGATCAGCCATGCTCGGGGGGGAGAGGGCATCGACGACCGGCCGATGGACTCCACGGTCCGCGCTATGGTGCTGTCGGATACGCACCTCCTAGGAGCCGTCGGGGGACACTGGTTCGACAAGCTGAGGAGGTAATGTCATTTTTTATTCTATTTATTTGGATGTTTATTTTTTCTTTCCTCTGTGCACCCGGACTGATTTGTAAACAAAAACAACCAATAACCCAGACTTGTTGTGTCCAAACGCGCAGGGAATGGCAGATGGAGAGGGCTTTCCAGACCGCTCTGTGGCTGCTCAGGCCCGAGATAGTGTTTATTCTCGGGGATATCTTCGACGAAGGCAAGTGGAGCTCGCAGAAGGTAACGTAGAGCTCCCTGTTTTCCTGCGTGCATTGTCTGCAAAGCCACACTGCTTTGGGGAGGGGGGGGGATGATGATGATGATGATGATGATGATGATGATAATGATGATGATGATGCTTGAGAAAACAGTATGTGGATGCAAGAGCAGGTCACAATCATCATGTTGTAGCTGCCATCAGGGCCCGAGAGGCTGCAGGAAAAAAAAAGGAAAAACAGCTGCATCCTCTCACAGTCTGTCCATCCATCCTGCTGTAAGGAACAACAAAAACAAAATCCCCTGGGAATCCTTAAAAATCTGTTTCTCGGCTGTCAAATGGGATCTGTCGTGTCTGATGTATCCAAAAATAAAATAAAAAATGAGGGGGGAAAATGGTGTGCAAAAGCAAAACAAAAGAAAGGCTCATTAAAAAAGGAAGCAGAGGCAGCAGACAGTAAAATCTGCACTAATGTTACCCCAGTCAGCTTCCTTATTCGTTTTCACACTCGGCTGGCAACTCTTCTGATTTGTATTCTGTGGACTTTTTGCAGAAAATGTCAGAATTTACAGAAAGAGGAATAGTGAGAGTCGGTCCGCAGCCGGCGTCTGGATCCATCTGTCGATTATTTTCCTGACAAATCCATTTATCCTTTGGTTTGTATGTCAGAAAAAAAGAAGTGAGAGATTCCAGCCTGAAAGCCAAAGATGGCATCTAGAAAGCACTTCTCTCGGTTGGGAAACACAAAAGATATCCAGTGTAAACAAAGGAAACCTGCAAATCCTCAAACAATAGAAGTCGAAACTGGAAAAATATCTTTGCATTTGTGCTTGATCCATGACTGGCTTCATGTGTCTCGTTCTGCTGGATTCGGAGCTTTTAGTTTGCAAAAAGGGGAAATGATACTAAAAGTGGAGCTGTCTGTGATGATAGTTTGCTTTATTTTTGGCTGTTTGATATATAAATGTTCAAAAATTGTGCCTGTTTTGTTCAACCAACAGCCCGAAATCCAAATATCTGCAATTAAAATGTTATAAAACAATAAAAACAAGAAGCAAATCTGCACATTTTAGGGGCTAAAACTCACCAAATGTTTGCCTGAATGGTTGCTCATTCATTCTGCAAATTAACTAAAAGATAAGACGATTAACTGTTTTTGCTTTTAGCTGCAAAGTCCTCAGGTTTGAGAAGCTGAACTGAGCGATTACTTGGCGTTTTTTTGTTTGACATGAATGATTTCAGCACTAATTAAATGCATCGTCAGCGTCATGTAGAGTCTCGTCATATAAAAACATAAACACACATGTGATTAGAGGTCTCCTGTGTGGAGCTTCAGCCCCTGAAGCAAAACTAAAAGCTGCAACCATTCTTTTTTTTTCTTTTATGGTTGATTGTTTGATCTATAAATGTTCAAAAAAAGTGTGCCTGGCTTAATTGGCTACCAGTCCAAAAACCACAAATCTCTCGGATTAAAACGTTAAACAACATAAAATAAAAGCAAATTTGCACATTTTTGAAGCTAAAACCTGCAAATGTTTAGCATTATTGAACAAATCCTTGCCTGTTTATTCATTCATTAAATCAGCTTATCCATTAGCTGATTAATAGTTTTGGTTTTAGGCTGGAAAATTGTCCCAAAGCCAGAAGAAAATTCCATTTACAATGATTTAAAATGAAAAAGTTTCACACATTCGAGACTCTGAAATGAGCAATTATGCAGCATCCTTTGCTTGACGTATCACTTCAGCCACGAGCACTTTTTATAGCTGATTGTTTGATCTATAAATGTTCAAATCTGGTGCCTGATTTAATTGACCAACACTTCAGAACAGCAAAAAGAAAAAGGCTGTGTGCAGCTTTCATGCCTGCAGCAGCAAATCTGAATTTGTTTTAATTGGCCAACAGTCTAATACCCAAATATTATAATGACTGAAAACATTATAACACTTGTTTTTTAAACAAATCTGCAAATTGTTGAAGCTAAAATTAGCAGATGTTTTGCATTTTTAACCAAATACTCGCCCATTTATTAATTACGCAAATCAACCAATTCACGAGATGACGGAAAACTGCCCCAAAACCCAAACATGTTACATTTACAGTGATTTAAAACAAACACACGTACACAAAACTGCAAATCGTCACACTGGAGAATCTGAAATGAGCATGTATCTAGCTATCTATCTATCCACTTCATCCATGAACTGTCGTTTATGGTTGATTGTTTAAATGTTCAACAAATCCTGCCTCGTGCAATCGGCCGACAGTCCGAAACCCAAATATCGTGAAATAACACATTACAAAAACAGAAAAAAAATAAGAAAACTGGCACATTTTGGAAGCTATAACCAGCATTTTTGACCAAATACCTGCAAATTCACTCTTTCATTAAATCACCAAATTTATTAGACGATTAATTGTTTTGGTTTTAGGCCAAAATAACAATTTACAATGAAAAAAAGCCCAATTTCTCACATTTGAGAATCTGAGAAGTGTAATTATCTGTCATTTTTAGCTGGATGTGTCAATTCAGCCATTAACATTTTTCTATGGTTGATTCTTTCATCGATAAATCTTTAAATCTGGGCCTGTTTTAATTGGCCAACAGTCCAAAATATAGTCAATTGGCGTATAAAAATAAGCAAATTTGCACATTTTAGAATCTAAAACTAGCATTTTTGACCAAATACTTTCCCATTCTTCATTCTGCCAATCAACTAATTGATTAGATGATGGAAAACTGTCCTAAAACCCCCAAAATTCCATTTAAAACATAAAAAAGCTCAGATTTGAGAATCTGAAATGAGCATTTATGTGGCTTTTTTTTGGCCTGATGTTTCAGACCGTACGTTTAACAGCTTCAACACGAATCAAAAGCAGCATCACGGAGTCGTTTAGAGTCTCGTCATATAGGAAACATACTATGAACCCGGGGAACGGAGGTAGTTAAAGGTCTCCTATGTGCAGCTGCAGAAGCACATCTGAATGTGAATCAAAGCATCAGCCACCCATGGGGGCTGCCGGGCGACCCTCGGAGACCCCATTAACGCTCATGAGCTTCCCAGGGGGAGTTTTTCTTGTGGAAGGCCTGTGCTGAAACCTGCCTCAGCTATGTTCTGTGTTGTTCTCTCTGCAGCACTGGGAGGACGACGTGCGACGCTTCCACAGGATGTTCAGACACTCCACTGACACAGAACTGGTTGTACTGGTTGGAAATCACGACATCGGTTTCCATTACGAGTAAGGACGCTGTTGACAGTCATATTGTGTTCTTGTTTTCATTGCCTAACGTTTGTTCACCCATCCCGACTGGTCAATCCGCTTTTTATGTTCCTCCTAATAAACCAGTGCAGGGCGGCACAACATCCTGATGAATTAAGGGCTCAGAGTTCCTCGGTGTAGGGATTGTTTTAGCGCTGACTGCCCTGGTTACAGAAATATCTGACTTCTCCAAAAGTTTTCGCCCGCCTGAAACGTCAATAATAGCTTCATATTTCCACAGAGCCAGCAAACAAAGGGAACAACACGACTTTGTCCACATTACATAACCGCGAAAGAAATATTTGACGTGTGAGTCAATTTTATTGGGATAATTCCGGGGTTGGATACAGTAAATGCAGTCAGGACTGACACCGAGGTCGCGCGCTCTGTGCTGCGGCTGCGGGGGGCTTTTAAAGGACAAAGCTGCCGATGTATTTTAATTATTTTCAACAAATCCCATCAAAAGACAAAAGACTTTATAACAATGAACACGGGCACTGTGGTTTATGTGGCATCAGTCCCACATGCAACATCCTGCTGCTCCACAGAGCACCAAATATGTATTCATCCGCAGCTGAAAATAGTCCCCAACAAACGCACCCTTGTTCCGAACTGTTGCTGAAAACTGCAGCGGCTTCCTGTTTCAAATTACCGAGCTATTTTTTAAAAGTAATTACTTGTGTGAACGGATTTGAGCAGTTTTCAGGTCACACGCAGCCTAATGAACTGTTAAATGTAGCTTATTGTGTTATTTGTTGATGTAAAAAGACAAGAGTTGACATTCTACACTTACATAAAGACGTACCTTAATGGGCTAATTCTGATAGTTTGAAGACTCAGTGTCCTTGAAATTGATTTATTACAAACACAAAATCTAATAATCCACAGTTAAACTCCTAAACTTTATGTTTTGAGTCCTTATTAAATCATTACAGACTCCCACCAATAGTATTACCAGTTGTTTATTGTATTAGAAACAATTTATGTATTTTAAAACCTATGCATACATTATATAGAGCCTTAAGGTCCATTATTGATCTTGGAAAAATGCGAACAAACATAGCTTTATCTTTGGGGTCAGTTTATCTTAAATCATCAGATTTTTAGGGCAGTTTCTACGTAACCACCTCTGATTCGCCTGACAGCTATAGAGCATAAGATATATATACTATATACTTGTAAAGATATTTCTGAAATTTCAGATTGATATATCAGATACTAGATTTTTTTTAATTCGATTGACCCACTTAGCATAGCAATGTTCTTTATCACATTGAAATTTGAGGCCATGTTTGAACAACTATGTCTCGGAATATTTTTAAGATAAAAGCCTGAAATTTTCGGGTTTTTTTCTCATCATGTCATTGATTCAGAATCTGCAATATTGGACAAGTAGATCAAATAGTCTCTAATTATGGATGAGTTGAAAAATGACAAAAATGTAAAGCTGTCATGAAAAGTCCCACATTAACAGTAGATTGATGTTGCAGAAGTCAACTGGTGATATTTTCTGAACCACATGTCGTTGCATGTAAGATGGAATAGTCCAAACTCGAGGCTTCAAAACAGTCGTGCACAAACCAATAGGTGGCGTCACGGCCGCTGTCTCTAGACCAGGGGTGTCCAATCCTGGTCCTCAAGGGCCGCAATCCTGCAAGTTTTAGATGTTTCCCTTCTTCCAACACACCTGATTCAAATGATCAGGATCGTTATCAGGCTTCTGCAGAGTTGATGATGAGCTGATCATTTGAATCAGGTGTGTTGGAAGAGGGAAACATCTAAAACATGCAGGACTGTGGCCCTCGAGGACCAGGATTGGACACCCCTGCTCTAGACTCTGGATAAAAGCTTGCCATGTTCCCCGTGCATGTCACGTGGCCTTCTGACTTTCCTCCACTGTCTGCATGTTACTGTTTTCAAAATGGCGAGTATTGCCAAAGATTTACACCACTGAAGAAGACAGACTACTTGGTTCTTACAATAAATGATCTATGTTTAATGAAAGTCCTCAACTCCTGGTGTGTAAATGTTCCATAAAAGAAAAACATCTGCCGTCACTATTTTTGAGTTGCACACTGGCTGCATCCTGGGATAGCATCGCCCACGACTATTGGGATTGGTTTAAAAAAATACAAACAAGCCAGAGCGTTTTTTTTTTTACCCTATAGAAGAATTAGGTTCTGACAGACTGTTCCTCAGCTCCAGAGATAGGTCTGGCCATGTGCGGCAATTTTTTGATGCAGTCTATGCAATAAACAGTAAAGATTCCACCAGGTACTACAGCAACTATGCTGCACTGTCTGATGTGCACATACATTATCTTCTGCCTTATCTGTAAATATCTATTAAACAGATTCATTATTAATAGCAAACAATCCATTAACAATTAATCATCCCTAGCGGCTCGGCATTTCTATCTTGATGCTTTACCTGCTGGTCTGATGATTGTCTTGAGTCCAGCTGCTCCTCTCATAGCTTCCTCCCTCAGCTCCTTCTCATTGTTGAGGTCTCCTCCTTTGACAGGCACCCAAAATTAACATTACATTAAGACAACATGCATGACTCGTTATCATCTCAAAAGTACTTCTAACAACCCTGCAGGTAGCCTTTCTCATTTGCAATTCAGCAGTTAATGGAAAAGTCAAAGGAGCTTAACGGACAGCACTGATTCTTGTTTCTTCAACATTTTCAGGACGTAAAACTATGTTATACATGTTGGGTCAACCTTTAATGCAGTCTTTGCAAATTTAAAAAAAAAAAAAAAAAACTGCATGAAAACCACATTGGACAAGATACAAGTCAAAAAGCACTCCGCTCAGACGGGTCACATCTGGACCAGGTTGTCCATCAGTGGCAAAATATTCTTTAAGTGTAGAGCGCATTAGATCAAAAACACCTATAGGCTGCTCAAATCAAACTAAATTATTGATGAGAGGCTGAAAAGGTTTCACAGTTTTGGATTTGTAAAACCTTTATTCTTTTTGTGAATATGCAAAAAATAAAATAAAATAAAATAAAATAAAACATGCAGATTTCACTACTTTCTGTCACACATAGACCACATTAGACCAGGCTCAGATCTAAAACCACTACATATAGACCGGTCAGATCTGGACTAGCTTGTTTCAAAGGGGCCAAAGACTGTTTAAAGCACAGTTTCTCCCGGGACAATCTAATTGTCATTTAACCAGTAGCCTCTATGTAGTGGTTTTTGGTCTGAAAAAAGCAGCAACGTCGCTCCTTTTTGCCATTTCCCCCCCAAAAATAAGGGTTTCCCAAATTTGAAAGTGAGCTACAGAATTAAGGGTTTGAAATGAAATGAAATGAAAAGAAAAATACTTTATTTATCCCAGAAGGGAAATTCAATCTTGTAAAAGCTCACTTTTGTTTTTTGTTTTTTTAATCAATATAACATATATTTTATACAACAACAACAACAATCATTCAGTCAGTCAGATTTGTTTGCTTAAAATGTCTAATGATAATAAATTGCTTTACAAAAATTATAATAATAAAACGCTTAATTCTTGCTACATCTGCTTGTTGACTGAAATTCACCAGGTAGCAGCTAATGTTATAAGCTAGAAAGAAGCTAATGTTAGGTTATTACATATTGGAAGCTAACGTGGACGCTAGCTTCTTCTAAGCTAGCTCCCGTTAAAGCAGCTAAAGTTATCTTCTTTCACCTAGCTGACTACGTGTTAGCCAGCGAGCTAGCCAGCAAGCTAATGTCCACGTTAAGTTTCGATATGTAATAAGTTGACAGCTTTTTTCTTAGCTAGCTACTTATTATTATTATTATTATTGTTGTTGTTGTTATTTATTTTATTTTTTGTTATTATTATTATTTATCTTCAGAGTGTTTAAACATTTTTTAATGCTCTCGTGAAGACAAATATTTATTACAGTATTTAAGACGAAAAAAAGCAAAGATGACGAGGTTAAAGATTTTATTCTGTCTTTCTTTTTTCCACAATAATTGTAAATCATTTCGTGGCCCTTCACATTAAATTGTTTGGAGGATCTCACTGATTTCAATGGCTGTGAAGAAACTGCTTATTAAGATTGTTATGTGAGGAGATCAAATTCAAAGAGATTACCAGCTTTGGAGGGAGAGCAGATTTAACTCAAAACATTGGGAGATCATGATGCCATTTAAATCAATAAACGAGATAAAAGCTCCGAAGAAATTCATTAAAAAATAAAAACAAGCAATAGAACATGGACTTTCAGAACAAATCAAGGTGGTGAAAACTGATTGAACACAACATATATTTTTGTCTCTGTTATATAAAACAGTATTTCTCTTGCTGTTATTTATTGAATGTAACTTGGAAAAAGTTGCATAAACAAATCAGTGAGAAAAAGGCTGCAGGCTGTAAAAAGCACCTGCACAACCTACTGACAGACAGCATCATATGCTTCTTTTTAATCAGTACCACAGAGGTCTTGATTCATCTTTACGGTATTCTTTGAGCCTGAGTTTTTTTTTTTGTGGTGTTCTTAGAATAGATTGCATATTATTGCAGAGATGTTGCGTTTATTGCTGTATGTAACAGCCTTTTGGTAGGAGACAGTTTTTCTTAATTTCTCAGGGGAACGAAGCACAATGTGGATGCATAAAATCATCCCACAGATTAGTATTCGATGATTCAGAAATGTGGGATTATGTAGCGGCTCATATGTGCTTTGATTCAACCTGTTCGGCAGGAAGTGAGGCGGCACAGCTCTTATGTAACAGCACATGACAGACGCAGACGTGACAGACTGAGCAGCAGGTTTTTTTTCTTTTTTTGTGTGTGTGTGTGACGAACATGTTGTGTCCCCCTGCAGGATGGACTGGTTCAAGCTGCAGCGCTTCGAGAAGGTCTTCAACGCTTCCTCCACCAGGATCGTTACCAAGAAGGGAGTCAAGTGAGTGTCAGGGGACAGGGGGGGATGCAACAAAAACCTGCGGCACACAGCTGTGATCCAGCAGGCCGGAAGGTCGCAGGTTTAATCCTCAGAGGCAGCGTCAGCCAAAGGAGCGCTTTTTAAACAAGAAAGCTGCCAGAAAACAGAGGTCGTCGTTGTGTGCGGACGGGCACAAGTGACAAATTGTGTTTCACATTGTGTGCCGAAAAACGTGCAGTAATGTGTCAAAAATAAGCTCATCCTATGGAAACGGGTGACTTTCTCTAATGTGTATGAACAAGCAAACACTTGTCCTCCTTTAAAACTGTGCCTATAGACAACAGTATTACACTCAAGCATTTTTAGAGTAAAAATGTATTTAAAAAAACGTCCTGCGTTTATCAAATCCAGAAGGTTTAATCCCCAGCGGCAGCGTGAGCCAAAGGAGTGCTTTTAAACGAGAAACCTGCCAGAAAAACTGTTCCAGAGGTCATGGTTGTGTGCTTATAGGCACAAATGACAACTTACATTCCTGTTCTCTGCTGAAGAACGTGTAGTCATGTCTAAAATGCTTAGGCCTCTTTAAAGCTGATGGATAATGGGTGATACAGTCAGACTTGTTGTTTGAAATTTAAATTATTATTTTTTTAAAAACACTCCCACATTTATCATACCTTAAAACCATAAAACTAGAATCAGGGGTTGCACATTAGAGGACGATTTTTTTTTTCCCCAAACCTTTGACATTGAAGGTCTGATGTTCTCTTTGCTGTTTAAGTGTGTGGTGTCGCCATGCTCAGGTCTAAAGAGCTCTCTAAGGTCTTCAAGAAAAAGGTTGTGGGTGTCTCCAAGTCTGGTGAGAAGTTTAAAAAGATCTCTTTGAAATGAATCATTAAACTTCAAGAGGAATGATCTACAAGTGGCGTTGATTTTAAATGACCAGCCACCTCAGACTTTTAGCACAGGTTCTGCAGGCGCTGGCGTCAAATTGCTGCGTCTATATTTAGAACAAGATTGCACACGTTTGACCTGTATTTAGTCATATCTGGAAAAGGCCTTTTCTGTCAAAAGAGCATTAGTTCAGTTTGCCAACAAGCAAAGAGCAGCTTTTTTTTTAGATGATTGTGTTCTGGAGTCTGAGCACATGAATCAAAGATGTTGGGCCACAACACCAGCAGACATACAGATGAAACCAGAAGTTTAGAAACACTGTATAAAAAAAACCTAAAAACCTTTTTTATTCTCACTGTCTGACATCAAATCAAACTTTTCCTGTTTTAGGTCAGCTAGGATGACCAAAATTATTTGTATTCGCTAGACGCCAGAATAATGAGAGAGAGAGTTTTTTAGAGAACTAGTGGATGTATTTAAGGCACACCTCAAACATACTGCTTCCTTTTGTGACAACATGGAGAATCTAAGGAAATCAGCCAAGATATCAGGAAGAGAACTGTGGACCTCCACATGTCTGGTTCATCCTTGTGTACAATTTCCAGATGCCTGAAGATTTATCTGTTCAGACAATTCTATGGAGACATGTCCTGTGGTCTGATGAAACTACAATTGGACTGTTTGGTAAAAATGACCATCGATGCATTTGGAGGAAAATGGGAGACACTTGCAAGCCTGAGAACACCATCCCAACTGTGAAGTACGGGGGTGGCAGCATCATGTTGTGGGGGTGTTCTGCTGCAGGAGGGACTGGTGCACTTCACTAAATAGATGGCATCATGAGGGAGGAAGATAAAGTGGAAATATTGAAGCAGTATCTCAAGACATCAGCCAGGAAGTTCAAGCTTTAAATGGGTCTTCAGATGGACAATGACCCTAAACATACCGCCAGATTAGTTACAGAGAGGCTTCAGGACAACAAAGTCAATGTTTTGGAGCGGCCATCACAAAGCTCTGATCTCAATCCTGTAGAAAATTTGGTGTGTGGAGCAACAAACCTGACTCAGTTCCACCAGTTCTGTCAGGAGGAACGGACCAGAATTCATCAAACTATTGTGAGAAGCTTGTGGAAGGAAACCCAAAACATCTGACCCAAGTCATACAGTTTAAAGGCAACGCTACCAAATACTAAAGAAATGTATGTAAACTTCTGACTTTGAAAAACCGAATAAAAAATTCTCTCTCTCATTATTCTGGCGTTTAGCAAATAGAAATAGTTTTGGTAATCCTAACTGACCTAAAACAGGAAAAGTTTAGTCACATTTAATGTCAGACAGTCAGAAAACAAAAAAGCTTATGTGTCTTTTTATGCAGTGGATGTAAACTGTATGTAACACAGACCAGAAACAGCTCCTCATGATAAGAACCTCAAACCGACTGTGAAGCTCGGTGGTGGAAATGCGATGGTGTGCGGTTGCTGTGCTGCCTCAGGGACCGGGCAGCCTGCACTTATTGATTCAACTATTAATTCTGCATCATAACAAAGAGTGCTTGAAGATAATGTGAGACCATCTGTCTGAAAGTAAAAGCTTTCAACGAGATAATGTTCCTAAAAACACTAACAAACCCGCCGAGGATTTGAGTCTGGTTGAAACGTCGTGGTGGGATTTGGAACAGACAAGCTAAACCTTAAACATCTTGCAACTGAATTAATTTTGCAGGAAGACTTGATGAAAAATCTCAGCGAGCTGCTGCACAATAATGCAAAACACCTGCGAGAAGGATTTTTTTGCCTTGAGGGGGTAAAAGCAGCTTCAGTAGTTTTCCTCGACTATACTGACCGTCACCGTCTCCAGTGTTGGCCTGTCAGTATGTCAAGACAGCCGGCAGTTTTTATTTTTCATGACTCGACATGGATCCATATCACCCAAACATTACAAAAATCTCTTTCATGTCAAGTCATTTTTAGTCTAACTGCCGGAGCAGGAAGATTTTTTTTTATGTTTACTTCAAATATTTTAGATTCTAGCACCCCATTTTTTTAATTATTTCCAGTCATTTCATTCTAAAGCATTTTTGAAACAGTTAATTTCCACACGTAGACTGCACCAGCTGATCTAATTGGTTCACGTACATTAAGAAAATACAGTTTGATGGCTCTAAAATACACAAAAACACATGAAAATGCAGAGTTTTGTAGTGAGACTGATGTGATGAATGGAAATTAACATGAAAACCATTATTAAGAAAACAAAGGTACATTTAAAATCGTAAAATATGTTTCAGGTTTTCCTTAATGCTTTTTGCAAATGGAAATGTGTCACTTTGTCTAAAAAAAATTTTTTTAAATTTTTAAAATAAAAAAAAAAGAATAAAATATATTATTTGGGGCTGCAAGGTGGAGCAGTTGATTAGCATTGTTGCCTTGCAGCAAGAAGGTTGCCAGTTTGCGTCCCAGTGAGGACACCCGGGATCTTTCTGCGTGGAGTTTGCATGTTCTCCCTGTGCAGCGTGGGTTCTCTCCGGGTTCTCCGGCTTCCTCCCACACAGTCCAAAACCATGTTGAGGTTAATTGGTGATTCTAAATTGTCCGTAGGTGTGAATGTGAGTGTGCTTGGTTGTCTGTCTCTAAGTGTAGCCCTGTGATAGACTGGTGACCTGTCCAGGGTGTCCCCTGCCTTCACCCTAAGTCGGCTGGGATAGACTCCAGCCCCCCATGACCCTAGTGAGGATTAAGTGGTGTGTAGATGATGGATGGATATATTATTTGAAATTAGCAGTATTTGGTGCTACTTTTCAAAATACTTAAATCATACCTTAAATAAGCAGAACAGAACCAAACATAGAGTTTTAAATCCTCATATTTATCAATTAAAAGCTACATTTTTGTATGATTGTCCTTAAATATCTTTGATTCTTTTATTTGAATTCTTAGTTAATCCATGATTTGCTACCTGCTGCACTACTGTAACAAATATCTGCATTTTTTGCATGTGAGAACAGACCAATTCTTAATTTTCTTATCGTGTAATTTATCATTTAAAAAAAAAACCTGCAACCAAACAAACCCGTTTGTGCTGCCAACCAACGGTTTTCTGCTTTTCCCACCACTTTCTCAACACTGATGTACGACACCCACAGAGGTCAGTGCAGCAGTGTTTTTTTTTCTCCATGCGAGCTGCTTGTCGGTTCACTTTAAAGCAGCTGTAAGCAATTATTTTAAAATAATGCATCAAAGGAAATGTGAAAACAATGTGGTAGTGCGGAAAGGGGAGAATTATCCAGCGGATCTGCAATTCCCTTCGGCTTTCCAGACTCGGTTCCTTGCAGTTTTACTGTTGTGTTTACTCTTATTGCACATTTTATTTCATTTTTTTGAGTGAAAAAGCCCCAAAAACAAAGCGTGCACCTCGACCGAACAGCTGACAGGCAGAGCTACAGGCGAGCTGCTGCACACAGAGCCGCATATTTCCCTCAGGAGTTGGTAAAACCCAAAAAACAGAGTTGGAGTTGTCAAGTGGCCAAAAAACAAAACTCTAAATGAATGGAAATGTTGCTCCGTAGCTGCTGGATGAGCAACTGTTCGCCAACATGTTCATCATCCACTTGAAAGCGAGCGATACGTCGTCGTTGATTGTTTCTGCTGCAGCTCGAGTGGCTGAAAATCAGTTATTGTTTCAAGATCTATAAAATTCAAAAGCAGAATAATAATAAATAAAAAAAAAGAACTGTATGACATCTGAGTGCAGCCTGACTGCAGCTCTGCTCCGTTGTTTCAGTTTCCTGCTGGTGAACAGTGTGGCCCTGCACGGTGACGGCTGTCCCATCTGCCAGTCGGTGGAAAAGGAGCTGATCAAACTCTCCAGAGACCTCAACTGCTCGCTTCAGGTGGGAGGAATTTTCTGGAAAGTCAGTCACACACTTACTCACACTGTCAGCACCTCCAACACGCTGCCGGCTCTCATGAAGTGTGAAGAAATAAATCTCTATTTCAGGCGCTTCGTACCTGCAGCAGGTGTTTTGTTCTTTTTTTGCACATGTATAGCACATTTAAAGAGCCGTGCGACGGCTTCCCTGTCTTCCTGCGAACAGCAAACAGACGGAGCCGAGAGATAAAATAAAACGATGATGAAAGGGAAATGTTGACTGATGTTTGAGGACACATTGTGAGCTCATGGACAAGACAGCTGATGAATTCTTTATGCTTTCTCGTCTGCAGAACTCGCAGTCCAGCAGCGGCGTAACGGACAGCTGTGAAGGCTCTCAGCTTTATCCTCCTACGCCCCCAATCATGTTACAGGTAAACTATACATATATGTGATCTTATTTCTAACAAGGCTCTACTCGCATCAAGCAGGGAAAGAAATACTGTAAAAAGAATACACAAATGTACAGAGAGCCTGGAAGAAGTGTGTTGATAGTTTTCCCTTCTCCTTGAGTCATGATCAATTTAATCTGGCTTTTTGGACCAGAATTTACTCCTTCATGTCAAAGTGAGGACAGATTTCTACAAAGTAATATCAAAACTGTTGTTGGCCGCTCTGATCATTACTTTCGTCCTTGCTGGTGTAAGATGATGCACAAACTCCACAGCCTACATTTGGTGCAACTGAAGTTAATATTAAGCCTGAATTAGCCAAACAAAAAGTTTTCTCAAACCTCTGGACAGCCTCTACTTGCTACTGCAGAATAAAAACAACAAGGGCTTTTGAGATAAAGACTGTAACTTTGGAAGATTTCCACTCGGTTTAATTCAGACTTCTAAAGCCTCGTGTTAGCTGCAGCTTCATTTTGAAGAGGCATGTTGCCATGTGAGGTGTACGGTAGCGTGGCAGTGCACGGTGAGGACAACTTTACACTGGCACAAGTAAACAAAAAAAATAGCCAGCCATTTATTTGCAAAAAATATTTAAAATGGCAGCCTCTCAAAAAAAAAGGCAAACAAAGGAAAAGAATGGAATTGAAAAGGCAGTGCTGAGTTGTACAGATGTTAGAGTACAACATCCCACCTCCTTTCCTTGATAAACTCCTCAGACATGCACTCGTTTCTGTTAATCTGACGGCATCTGAACGTGTCGGCTTCATGTCTGAATGAAAACCGTACTCACTTTCCTGTAAATGTTGAAATAGGAATCTTCTGAGGTCAGACCATAGACTGTATAAAAGATGGACGTAGCTACCGTGACGTCACCCGTTGGTTTCTGCACTGAGAAAATGAAGCCAGGGTTTTGCTACTTCCTGGTTGACATCTTGGATTTTTTGGAGCCAGTCACGCAAAAATCATCGGAGGGGGGCGGAGCCATAGGAGCAGCGATTGGTCAGACGGACTGAGAGGCGGGCCCTCTCTGCCCGCCCACATTTACCGCCTTCTGCTCGCTTCGTCTGTATGGTCGCTGCCAACTGTCAGTCAAGCCAGCCACGCCCCTTGCCCCGCAAAATGTTGATGATTTTTTAAAAATTCAGTATTGATTTATTTTCAGATTGGCCACCTGATCTCTGGACTTGACCATGAAAACTAATTTTTTTTAAAATCCTGAGCTGTAGGAATGCAGTGTTTCATGATCTGTGATCACTTCTTTTCCAATTCATTTCTATGGGAGCCAGGGCTTTTTGGAGCCAGCAGCTAGTGGACGAAGTGATATTGCAGGTTTTTGACACTTCCGGGTTGGCTTCATTTTTCGGGCCGGTTGCTACGTCCATCTTTTGTACAGTCTGTGGGTCGGACTTAATAACATTTCTGTATCACTTTTAGCGCTGTCAGTCTGAACTGCATGCTGTTGCATTAACGCATAGGCACATGTAAGTGGCGTACTTTGACTTGTGTTAAATGATTTGGGGTATCCACATTTTAGCACCAGTGTTTGTCCAAAAACATCACAAAGTAAGACACAGCAATGAGCCAAAATCAAATACCGCTACCTTTAAAAATATCTATTAAAATTAGTGGTGTAAGTGTTACTATTAGTATTATTAATATGTTCTTCATACCTTTCTAAAACAAAAGTTTTAAGGTGCTGCACTAAGTGGACATTAAAATACAGATGACAAAACCAACTGTCCACCCATCCATCATCTATACACCACTTTATCCTCAATTTTTAAAAGCATGTCGACAAAACAAAATAGCCATTGTGAAATCAATGAAGAGAAGGCCTGATGATAAAATGAAGATTTTAGTAGTGCTTTAAGAGAAAACACTGACGATGTGAGCAAACTGTAAGGCCACGAATAGGAAAGACCTGATCACCCCTGGTCACGAGGCGAGAATCAGGAACAGTCACGAGGTTCCTGTCAGAGGATCTTAAACAGGCATTAAAAGATCACAAAAAACAACTTATAGGGGCCAGAACAGTCTGGGAATGGCCCTGAGGCGGGTCAAAACCAACTGATGAGTTCAAAAACAGTCAAAGGAGTCCAAACACAGCCTAAAGAGCAGCCCTGCAGCAAGTCAAAACTAAAAAAGGAATCCAAAAACCAGAAGGCACAGTTCGGAGGGCGGCCTGAAGGCCGATCAAAACTAAGCTAGGGAGGATGGCCTGGAGGCTGGTTGGGCAGCCAGGGCCGCTCCGGAGGATGGCAACAGAGATGGAGCCCCTCAGAAGGCCAGGCAGGAGGCCCACTGCAGCGGAGGTGGAACCCCTCAGGAGGCTGGGCTGGAGGGGGCCGGGCTGGAGGCCGAGACTCAGTAGCAGCGGGATAGTCAAATGATTCTGGCAGGTCCCAGGATTTGATACTGGTGAAGACAGCATCGACCCACTTGAGAACAAGGATCAGTAGAGACCCGCTCGGGCACAGTGACCCAGCGTAGTTGGGGGGACACTGAGGAGCAGCGAGGTCGGTCTCCATGCTTTCTCGTGGAAAGACTTCCAGGAGGTGGCTCCTTGGATTCCTGGGGAGCAGGTTCAAGTGGAAAACCAGTTGGGTGATCTGCAGGCTGGTGGCTGGTTGACTGGGTTGGTGGCATGAGGTACAGAGTCCAGGAAAGGGTTGTATCCAGAAAGTCCAAAATAAACTAAAGGAATCAATGAGGCTTTTGTGCTACCTCTCTACGTGCCAGAGATAGAGCTGCCTCATTAAGCTTTTTGCTTTGAGCCCTCTTTCATTAACAAGACAAAGCAAGGAATCAAAATAATCATATGAATCATCATCTTCAAAAAACACAAACAAACCTGGTGGCCAGGTAGCCCAGGGAGAGAAAGAGATGCCTGGGGAGGCCTGGGGTCCTGAACAGAAGAAAGTTGACTCAGCTGAACTGAGAGGGCAGCTACCAGACTTGTGAGAAAACTCATTTTACTGTTCAGGGTCTTATTATGGTCTGATAGACTCCCAAGAACTTGGTCGTGGTGGCCGAGCCACACTCCCTGGCTGGCTACAGCCTGATGGATCTGCAAAGGGGCTGGCACCGAGTCAGAGCTGGGCTCGGTGTCCGCTGGGTTCATCTCTTTTGGCCAGATCATACTTTCAGGGTGGACTGGAGAACCCCAGACACAGATCAGGCAGAGAAAGACGAAAGATTGCAAAAAGTTCATTTAACAAAGGAATATAACTGAAACCAATACAGAATGAGGAAACTGAACTGAGAGGTAAACCGAATGGGTCAAACCAGACTTCATTCAAAAAAGGGGCAAAACTACAAAAACCTTGGACAGCTCTAAACGAAGACACAGAATGGGGTTTAAGTAGACTAATATGAATGAACTACAGCTAGACTAAGAAAACGGGGATACTCTACTCACAGGACTGGGGAACTAAACTGAAGGGGCAGGCAGGCTCGGGGAATCCAAAGTGAGTCGGAGCTGGCAAGGGCAGGGTAAAAGCTGGAGTGGAGCCAGTGGCAGGATCAGGGCGGTCAATCAATGTGTTGCCGATACTTGGTGAGGACAGGTAGGAGACAGGTAGGAGATCGACAGAGGAACAACTAGTCTAGTGGGGTGTGGTGGAATAAACTGAGCTTTTATGGAACAAAGGTAATTGTTGACAGGTGAGCCGATCCGCAGCTGTCTTTAATATTTGCGATCAAGCAGGCTGCATGTTTGCCACAACGTAAGCATCATAAAACTTCAACGAAGAGCGGGAACGAGCTGATACAGGATATAGATCATCATCCTGTCACACTGGGCGGTAAAAGATCATTTTATCAACCTTAAAACTTCATTAGTGGAATTTTTTTTTTTTTTTTAACTTGCAACTGTTGAGCGGATGTTCACATCTTTGATAGATTTCATGCTTAATTTTGCAGCTACTCATTAGTCTGTCATGTTTGAATAATTAATTAATTCTCTGGAACCCAAAAATCCACCAGTGAGTTTGAAAGGCACAAATGACATCATTTGTCAGAGAAAGCAATTGTAAAAAAAAAAAGATTTAAATGAAGGAATGTGTTACTTTCCCACGGTTTTTGAATGAATTATGCATGATGTGTTCGGAGCATTAGCCAACATCTAGGGTTAAGATGTGATATTTCATCAAAGTCGAATGTCTACATGTCAGAGAGTTTGCCAAAAAAAATGATCAAAACAACAAATTTTGCATCCCTCAGGAGAGACACTATTATAACTAACACATGACTAAAATCACCCAGCAGATTGGAGAGAAGTATGGAAATGAATCAGAGACAGGCGAAATAAAACACACTTGGCCAATAAAATAAATGCAGAACAGCTCAAACATGTTCTACAGAAGAGCGAGTTGTTTGAAGATACTTTCAGCTTGGTGAGAAGACAGCTTTCTGGAGCTGATGTGCGAATAGTTGAATGTTTAAAGCATGTGGAGCCTCCATTTTTTTTTCCGGGATTTTGAAACACTTGTGAGCACTTGGAAAAATGTGATTCATGTTGTTTCCAGGGGGGCTGGAAGGTGGCTCGGTGGTTAGCACCGTTGCCTCGCTGGTTGGCGTCCCGGTGAGGAGTCTCCATGTTCTCCCCGTGCAGCGTGGGTTCTCTCTGGGTTCTCCGGCTTCCTCCCACAACTCCAAAAACATGTTGAGGTTAATTGGGGATTCTAAATTGTCCGTAGGTGTGAATGTGAGTGTGCTTGGTCTAAGTGTGGCCCTGTGATGGACTGGTGACCTTTCCCACCCTAAGTCAGCTGGGATAGACTCCAGCCCCCCACGACCCTAGTGAGGATTAAGCGGTGTATAGATAATGGATGGATGGATGTTGTTTCCAGGTTTTTAAACGATTGTAAAACAAATAATCAAAGAATCATTTATGGCGTCGTAACCGTCATACTGAACAGAAGACATTTTGAGTTCTCTCTACTTCTACTCATGTTGTGTTGTTTCCACAGAGGTGCAGGACTTTGTATTGCAGTGAAACATGAGTCCACAGTAAATAAAAATGTGACAGGTGCGAAACAAAATACGTCCAGCAACTGACTGTGATAAATAGACATGAATACAACTTGTCCTAAGTAAGAGTAAGAATAATGTCATACTGAAAATTTTGCCCTACCAGTAGCTCAGAATGCAAATATACCCAATTTCATGATGTAAAACACAGAAACGCAGCATAGTTTCATGTTTAAGAAGCTTGAATCGATAAGAAAGTCATATTTTTCCCTTGATAAGTGATCATATGATTTGTTTCCAAATGTTAAATTGATAAACTGTTCCAGCAGTGACATTTTATCCAGATTTTAAACACTCTTGTCTGCATGTTTGCTTGTGACACACAATATTTCAACCTTTCACTGACCCGGTGTATTTGCTGCACACCTCCTCAGCCTGGTTTTTATTTCTCCTGTTGAAAATAGCACTAAACAAGCATGCTCTCCCGGCTGTCTGCTGTGTTCTCCAGCACTATCCTCTGTACAGAGTGAGTGATGCCGGCTGCAAAGGGCAGGACGCTGCACCACCTGAAGAGCGACACCTGCTGTTCAGAGAGAAGTATGACGTGTTGTCGAAGGAGGCCTCTCAGAGAGTGAGTTCTCCGCAGTCTCTTCACACTCTGCTCTTTTTTCTCTCTCTCTCTCCTTTCCCTTCAAAGCACGAATCTCCTCAGAAGTGGCTTCATCCAATTAAAATACAGTAGTGCAGCCCGCTGTCAGAAATAGTCTGATATGGAAACGGCACATGATGATGATGATGATGGTGACGAAAGTGGTGATGTAAGGCAGCAGCAACCGGCCTCTGAGGCGGACGTATGTTTTGTCTCCCCAGCTGCTGCAGTGGTTTAAGCCCCGCCTCATCCTGAGTGGACACACCCACAGCGGATGTGAGGTTGTCCATGACAACAAATACCCAGAAGTCAGCGTGCCGTCCTTCAGCTGGAGGAACAGGAACAACCCCAGCTTCATCCTGGTGAGTGGAACGCCGGCCTGCATCCACGGCTCCAAAAACAGGCTGTTAAGAGGCGACGTAAACAGACGATGGCGCACGATGGAGGATTGCAAGCGAGTTCATTCTTTGTATAGACAAATAACTCATTCACAGTGAAGTCTTTATGTTCTTATTTGAAACAAACAGCGCATTTAGAAGAAAAACTTGCAGTGACTATTTCTTTTCGTCCAAATAGGAGCAATGGACCCAACACTGACATTTTATTCGTTTTAAAGTCGAACTTGCAAACTAGCTACTTGACAGCTTCTTTATTCAGCTCATTTGAAGTTGTGTTTGTGGGCTTCTGGCAAATGGAAGTCCAATATTCACTGTCTTTGAGCTCCGTTTTTGGTCTCCACCATCTCCATCTGCCCGTTTAGCTGCTAAATGTTCCGCTGTGATCACCACTTAGCTGCTAACTGAACTGTCTGGTGCTGAGCTTGGAGTTTTTTCACTAAATGTGACTGACCGCTGAGGCTAAAAACAACACAACGAGACCGCTGAGAATTAACCGGAACAGCTAAACAGTGACAGAAAACCCACTAAAGGGAGAGATTTATGTAATAATAGTGAATTTTGAGCCCCATGTCAGAGAACATCGTCTAAAAACTACATGCAGACCCCATTTACAGCAACTGAAGTGACAGATATTTCCCTCAGGAGATGGTAGAGACCAAAGACAGAGCTAAAAGAGAGTGAATATTGGACTTAGATGTACAAGGTGGCCTCAAACACAACTCCAAATGATTTATAAAGTTTCTCCCTAACAACTGGATGTGCAAATAAAGCAACAACCACTGCAACTACTACTTTTTTCAACTTGAAAGTGTTCATTTTTTCAGTAAACAGTTATGCATCTATCACGGAGAGCCAAAAAAATAATTGCCTATACTTTAAATATATAAGGTCATTCCATTTCATATCATTGAATTTTAAGGACAATTTCAGCTCGGCCATCTCTGATTTGCCTAAAATTTTTATAGCATCACATATAGATATTTCCAAAAAATACATATTTCTGAAATTTTAGCTTGTATATCAAATAGTGAAGTAGAGTAACAGTAATGGTACATTTAGAGGTGCTAATCTATTTAGAGATAAGATTGGTTCATTCATTTTATAGCTGAACATTCGGCTCTTCACTCCCAGCTAGGAGGAGCATCAACACTGGGAATGCAGTGTAAAATAAATGCACGCCTAAATGGAAAATGTATACGACACGCTCAGCCGATTTTGTTATAGCTCCCTCGTTTCCAAACTCACTGGTGCTGATCCTCCAGATGCTATTTGTTATAATCCTGTAGTTTGTTATAGTATCCAAAATGTGATGTAACTGCATTAAAATATGTTTGTAAAAAAGCCAAATATTCTCATCTTGTCCCCAAATTTAAACATTCGAGTTGATGTAAT